ACACACACACACACACACACATATTAAGGTATAGTTACCCTTATTAATGTGAAAGAGAACTAAGTAAATCATTTCCTATCCATTTATGTCCAATTATTTTCGTGTGATATTCCCATAAGCATGTACAGCATGGGTGATAAAGCCTGAGATTCTTCTTGTCTTACTGTTAACAATAATCTGTTGTTAGAATGAGTTCCAGCTCTGCTGACCTCTGTCAAGTGGCATGCTCTTGGTCGTAGTAATGCCAAAGATCTGCAGAAAAATGGGGATCAGCCATCATCTTTCGGTGAGAACGTCTCCCCAACGATTTCATGCTACTCTCCTTCATGTAATTCGCCTTATTGATGGCTATTCGCTCTTGCCAGAGGCAGTGGCAATTAATAAGCATAAAAATAATGAGTTTCGATGATTCTTTGTAATAGTTGTTCATGCCTTAATACTTAGCATATTGTAGAAAAGGTTTTCTGGAAGGAGTTCATAGCATGACTTCACAGAAAATCGAAACAGGATGGAACATTATTAATGCAAATATATTGGATTGTGCTAAGAAATCCCAATCACACAATCCTGCCTTTATCTATCTTGTAGTGGAAGACATCGTTAGATCCAGAAATCATTTGCTACGAAAACACCACCAGACATTAAAACAATAAAGAGGACCTAGCGTTGACGATTCTATGAAGCATCTTGGGATTTGATTGGTTATTTCATGCTTATCCTACATGGTTGCAGATGGAGAGGACATGGCTGTGACTAAACAATTGTGTTATTATAAGATGTATTTACTTCGTTTCTAATTTGCACTTCGAGATTATTATTAGATCTTGAATAAGAATTGTGTTTACCCTATTTCGTTTAATGTGATGCGGGTGGTGATGGTAGTTCAAATATTTCACTACGAAGAAATCTGGAAGACAAAGGAGAATTGTTTTGTACTGAGGATGGTTGGATGGTTTGAAGAAGTCCTTTAGGAAGAATCCCTGCTGCCACTGGGTTGATTGAATCGATATAAGTGCCGATATTAAAAGTGACTCGAATGGGATATTTGTCACTTTGGGCAATCCAGACCTCTCCAAATTTCTATTTTCGTACCACACTTTTGTTGTGGGACTGTCGATGAGGCGAAATTCTACTTGCAATTACAACTGTCTACACTACTTATATATTGTTTAAGTAGTTTCCGGAAGTACTAGCCTATTTTGAACAAAACCTGGGTCACATGAGGTGATGAAGGACTGATAGTCGAATTTTCGCATATTGACATACTACCTAGTAAGAATACAGGTGATCTGAGACTAGCAAAGTTCCGGGGTCGGTCTTTGTCCCTCAGAGGAAGGGCAGCAAAATGGCGGTCTACTGGTGGCTTGATGATGAGTTTTGCTGCTTCTGGAGGCATCATCATTGCTTCACATTTCTTTCTTCTCATCTGCCCTCAACTTTAGATGCAAACGACTGCCCAAGGCTCTCAAGGACTGGCCTGCCTACACTGATCTTGAGAAGACGATCAATGACTTCAACGAAAAGGTGCCCTTACTCGAGATGATGACGAACAAGGCGATGAAGCCACGGCATTGGCAGCGGCTGACCGATTTGACCAACTACACCTACGATGTTGACTCGGAGAACTTTACGCTAAAGAATATGCTTGACGCTCCGCTGCTCGACGTAAAGGATGACGTCGAGGACATCTGCGTGTCAGCAGTGCGCGAGAAGGATATCGAGGCGAAGCTGAACGCTGTGATGAAGGATTGGGCAGCGCAAGACCTCAAGTTGGCCTCGTTTAAGAACCGTGGAGAGCTGCTGTTGAAGGGGGATAGAGTGGGAGAAATTATCCCAATGCTCGAAGACTCTTTGATGGTGCTTAGTTCCTTAATGAGCAACAGGTCAGTAGTATTATTCCTCGGCCTCAAAACTCATAGGATTTATTTGAATGCCAGAGAACGATTGCTTTCATCAACTTTCGATGATTGTCAGCACTGCTATCGCATTTGTAACTCAGATGATATTACTGATAAAACTACTCATAAGATTAGAAAGTTAGCTGATTTCGGTTGCTCAAGATGCGGTAGCACTAACAGTTGAGTTATTCTAAATAACAAACAATGAATCTTTAGAGACTTTCATTTCGTAGGTCGATTTCATCAAAAGTCAATAGCCGCTTCCTGTGGTTCTGCGACTGTTTGCTTTTTTAATACGAGATTCAGGTTGGTGCAGTCCATGAGACATCCTCCCTCGTAAACCTGGAAATCGTATTAAAGCCAAATGGCTTCAGAAAAACGGGAATCGACTGCCGTCTTACACCGAGCTCGACCTGCGAATAGCTTTAGCTTTTACTTTTATGTGAAATTAAGTTATCTACATAAATACTATCTCGACAAATTCATCAAAAACCATTAATTTTGTGGCTATTCAAGATACATTTCTGAAAAGCTCAACCGTCCATTTTACTGCACTTTGAGCAGCATAAATTAGGCAAACTTCCAATTTTATGTTCATTTCTTTTAGCTTATCCTGCGTGCTAGAATAAGCGGATGTCGATGGAGGTGATAGTTGTCTGGCTCTCGAACATCCTTGCCTTAGAATTCCTTGCCTTCCACAAAACTCTAAAATCATCCGGGCCAGCTATCAGGACAATGTGTCCCAAAGCAGATGTGGCTTTGAAGACAAATCACGTTTCATCCAATTATTGATAAGACATTCTTAAATTTGATAACTTTACTTAAATGCAGTGTTATTGGGCTTTAAGACTATCAATAGATCATTAATAGACATTTTGGTCATCCTCGGTTGCATAAGATGAAGTGGAAGATTAAATGATGGTGATAAAAGTGGGCTGGCCTCATTTTCGCAATTTGGTCATGTTGTCATGGGGATTTAGTTGGATGCACCTTGTCCGAAATTTTCTGCTATAGAAGCTGTCAGAATTTTCAACGTCGGATCATGGACTTTGTATATTCCAAGACGTTTTGCCGGCATAATAGTCGAAATCGTAGTCGGCAGCTTCAGAGAGTCTTTCCATTCTCAGCCCCAAGCTACACATTGCCAGAAACAAAGAAATTGTGACAGTAAAGGTGAATACATCAGGACAGAATAAGAGATACAAAAACTGGTCAGAGGATCGACTTCACTTGTCGCCTTGACTATTTATATCGTGGTAATGAGAATGGCAAGACTCATGGTGATGTCGACTACGT